AAATAAAAAAAAAATTTTGAATTTACTTACTTGTAGCCGGAGTTAGAGGCGGTCGGATACTTATGACTGCTACTGTACTGTTGCACAACATCTCCTCAAGTTCCATTTCACGAGCACTACCCAGGCGGTGGCCTGAACTAATATCTTTTAGGGTATGCACATTTCTCATATTCTATGCCTAGTTATGAAGCAAGAAAAAAGTTAAGCGTAACTAAAAATTCATCCTTTGTTTTCTTCCTATGACTATTTTAGTTGAGACTCTCAATTAAAATTTTAGTCACGGAATTTAAGGGGAGTGTTTTTTATCGATATAAAATAATAAATATCATTTTCCATCATTTTTTAATGTTATAAATACGATAAATATCGTTTCTATCATTTAAAAATAATAAATATCATTTTTTATTGTTATAAAATTACTGAAAGAATTACATGGCCAACCCATTTTTACAAACTCATTATTGACGAGGAGCCACTGATTTGACGCTTGAGCAAATCGAAGAAATTAGGCATCTCAAAAATAAGGTTCCTACATATATGATAGTGAGGGATTATCATATACGTAAAGAGCGCGTCCATGATATATGGAATAATTGTGAACGGGCGTAATAGAGTAAAAAATATGAATTGGCAGAAATTCTTAGTACAGACAAAAAAGCAAAACTTTGTATCCCTGATTCATCTCCAGTGCATGAGTCATCTCGTTCAAGCCAACCACAGGATAAGCAGAAAAAGAAAGCATCAGGGTCAAAGTCTATTTGTGTTTCTGACGATTCATTGGAAATAGTAGGTGGAGACTTAGAAGCAAAAAAGATACAATAGATATATCACCTGATTCCTTTAGTGAATCGTTTCCTAGCCAATCACTTATTATTTTGCAAGATTCTGAAGATGTTTCAGAGATGTTTAAAAAAGTAAATATTGAAATGAAAAAGGTTAGGATAAAGGGTCATACTATTACATCTAAATTGGCAACTGGGATTTAGCCTTATGACTATACAAATCATTATAGTACCCTATAATTTCCAAATTCGTTTGAATACTAGTAAATAACATTTTTTCAAGCTCCTCATAACTCACTTTTTTTTAATGCATCATTATCCGCATCCAAGTCCTGAGAAATCTTGTCCAGAACTGTGAAATCATCATTAGCTATGCTAACCGCGCAATTCACATCGAGCTCATTCTTGATCTTATGCATGGTCACTGGAATGATATAATCCTTTCCATTAAGAGGGATCTTTAGCTCATTGGTATTCCAATCCACTGCGCATCTATATTTCTTTAAAAGTTGGTTAGAAAATATTAGCATCAGTTTTTTATATTTCACGACAACAAAATCTTCATGAATGGTAAGTCCAGGGGCTAAAGTAATTAGTAAATTGCGTACGACCCCAACAGATTCAACAGGAACAGTGGAGATGCCTTCAAGATCATGTGTCTCAGATTTATCGATTTTAGCTTCCACACGTTCAACAATATTCTCCGTTATGATAGGGGGTTCAGCTCCAGAGTCGAGAGTCATAGCCGGAATCTTTAAACGCCTAATTTTGCACTTCACAGTCACAACACTTGTCCTTGGCTCCTTCTTTTTGACAAAATCTATTTCTATGGGATCATCCAAATATTCTTCCTCCTCTATACTAGACTCGTCCAGAATTGGGTCTTTGGAACTTGAAGAGTCATTGTTTTGTGTCTCCACTTTAGCTGGAATAGAAGGCGCTTGTTTTACTAAATTGGCTTTATTTGAACTAGACCCTGTGGGGTAGTCTTGTGAGCCGGCTCGACTCCTGGTAAGAGGAAGGGAAAAAGTAATTTGAGTTCACTTTGCATAATTTTACGAACAGTTTCTTCCAAGATAGTCTGCTTATTTTTTCTAGGTTTAACAGACTTAGAATTTTTAGTAGAGCGGGATGATGATTTCTTGGAACGAGACTTCATGCCGGAAGACTTTTCACCTGAAGACTTCTTGCCTGAAGACTTCTTACCCTTGGAGTTTGAACTTACTTTTTTTTTGACTTGACAACATTAACGATGATATCACCTTCAGAATCGAAAGAACTTGTGTCAGAATCTGAACTATCACTAGATGATGATTCATTAGAGATGTTAGAATCTGAATCTAAATCAAAACCTGAATCTATAGTAGCGAGATTAACTTTAGCTTTCTTAGACCTCTTTTTCTTCTTCCGAGTGTATTTACGAGAATTATGTCCAGTTCGATTACAGTTAGAATACCGCTGATGCATCTTCACAGCTTTTTTAACTGCTTTAGCCACGTGTAAACTTAACTGCCTTTTTGTGAGCCTAGCAAGCTCTTCATCGGAATCAACTTCAACCTTTTTCTTTGGTTTCGGTAGCAACTTAGGATTGAAAACAGGGGTGAACTCTGGAGTTTCTCCTGTTATCTATGATATAAATCTACCTATATTCTTATCTCGTAAATTTTTATACGTTCCTGCAGGATGTGGTTGGAATTGCGATGAAGCCACTTGTTGGGGCTGTTGAGGTTCTGAGGATGCTATTGTGTTTTTTACCAAGCTCTCAATTTCCGTTTTAGTCATCCCTGATTTGTTAGTTTCTACATATGGATTGGCTGCCGGAAAAATTGGAAAAGAAGATGGTGCACTCTGTTGAGATAATGTAAATTTTTCCGCTTCAGCTAATGCTTCTGTAATATTATCCTGAGTATCATGAAATT